ATTTATCAGAATAGAAAACTTTAGTAGGTATTAATCTATTAATTATTAGTTATAAGTTATTCAGCCTTTGGGTCAATACACACACACACACACACACACACACACACACACATTTTTCGATGACCATGTAATCTAGAGTAAGCCCATTTAATAAACATTTTTTTTAATTAAGTACTTGTAAATTTATTACTAGGGCTGTGTTTGCATAGGCTCTGTTTGTAGTCTGTTAAGGTCACGTGATTATTTATGATAAGTGCGAGGGAGACAGCATGATGTCACCGTCTCACTCGCACTTATCATAAATAATCACGTGACCTTAACAGACTTAATAACAAACAGAGCCTTAGGCGAACACAGCCTGTATCACTGTTATCCGTCTCCACTGGTCGGTAACTTGATCTTCAATTCGCCTGATTGATTATTTGCGCGCGAAATTTGAATGCTTGAGCTGTTTTCTAAAACTTGTCTAAACAAAATTATTACCTGTGTTCTTAGCTGTGGCTTGTTTTATGATGATTATAGCTGTACTGCTACTTTTTAGTTGTGTTGTTATTTGTTTCTTGAATAACAACAAATATTAAAATTACGCGCGTAATGAATAAATATCAGTCTACAGTGTTTGCCACAATAGATTCCAAATATTAGATTCTTAAGGTGGCTCCTCACTATAAATCCCACAAGAAGAGTAAGCATACTGCAACACAGCTTTTCATTGGCTGTGGAGGTTCTTGACTAAAAATGGATAGGTACCTATAGTCCCTTCAAAAAAAGTTTATTCACATCTACACCGTTGACCTATATTGTACAATACAGTGACCCGAGCAGACGTATGTATACAAATCTGACAACATAACCCTTGTATGTAAATAATAATAAGCTGACGATAAGTACCTAATAATAAGCCATAGGTGACCAAAGACAAAAAAACTTTAGAAAAAATCTACAAGTTATTTATTAGTGACGAGTAAATACAACCGTGTCCTAACTTTATCGTGATATATTCTATTAATTTTATCTATTAGTCAAAAAATTACATAAGTCAGCCCCACATTAAATTATTTTCTTAGTTCACCGTCTCATTTATTTTTATTATAATTACGATTCCCCACAACTCCTATTCATTTTACGTACAACTTTCTGACCAATTCAAACTACGCGGGCTACCGCTCTTCGGTGTAGCAGACGTCCCACACTTTTCATCTGTTCCGTGACTTGCACAGTTATCTACTATTTTCACAAAATATCCTATAAAACCCATGGTAATGTTCAAGTACCTGAATGTCGTTGGACAGATTCTGATTTCTTCTATCTGCTACATAGTTTTCTATTAAGAACTACATTATCTTTGCTGAGATATCATACAACCTGCGCCACCAATAATTATTTGACGACCCTCCATAAGAGGCTATGTTACAGAGTCTATTTTCCAGATAGTTTTTTTCAACAATTTTGGTGGGGACGAGGTCTAAAATTTAGGGAAAAGACTCCTTGCACCTTCAAGAATCATCCTTTAAAATATCATTTAATATTCCAGTGTTTTGATTTAGGAAGGAGCCACCTTAAAATGAAAAATCTGTACCTATATTGACAAATGAATTTTTCCTTGAGTTTAAAGTGTGTAATGTACGTGTGTGTGTGTATTGACACAAAGGCTGAATAACTTATAACTAATAATTAATAGATTAATACCTACTAAAGTTTTCCATTCTGATAAATATTTTGTAGAACCCGCTGTACGGAGGAAACGACATATACCGAACAACGGGAACATAGAACTGGACCAAAAGTCACTAGACAATAAAAGTCACTAGATTCTCTCACTCAATAATTAAATTCATTATTTACAAGCTTTGTGACATTTAATTACATTAATTTATATACCTCCGTAATCTGCAAATAAGGAGGAATCGAATCGTACAGGTAGAATTGGATTTTAACCCAATTTAGCACTTAAAACAAAGTTTTTTACACTTCAGCGCCGCGCCCATTTTCGACTTTTTATTTTGCAAATATCTCGTAAACTATTGGTCCGCAAATAAAAATTCTAGTGGAAGATAAATCCGCAAGTAAGGAGGAATCGTTTAGGCTCTGAATGGGTGCAAAATATTAATATTTAATATTTACGGGCACCAACCTCACAAGTCTCAGCTTTTTTCCCCTCCGTCAAGAGAGAGAGAGAGAGAGACGGAGCGGTGTCAGAAAAAAACGGAGACCCTCCGGGCTTCGGCTCTCTCCTCACCTTACTCCCGAGATGTTGGCTACAAGGTGTGCACTTGAATGCGTTGTCCATCTGTATAGACCAAGAGCTAAGGCTCGAGGGTGGTCAAAATTTTAACCAGCCGCCACTTACACCAGAATTGATGAACTTTATGATTCGTGGAGATCCGAAATATTTCGGTCACATTTTGTAGTGGTAAAGAGTTATGTGATAATTATAGTGGTGCCATATAGTCTTTTTTATTAACTAGCCGCAACTTACACTAATGCCTAAAATATACAAAGTTAATATGCGAGTGTCATTGGCGGTAAGATTAAATCGCATTTTGTGTCCGAAAATTGACCTTCAAAAATACAGAAACTGTATTCTTATCCACACTGTTTTTTACCACGAATTATCTATTATCTTAGATGAGTATGATAGCATTATAGATAAGATCGTGTAGGGGGTCTTTTTTTTTTAAAGTCGGTTTTCGGATACAAGATGCATTTTAATCTTTTTACAAATGGCATTACCTTGCAGCAACTTTGTATTTTCTATTCATTGGTGTAAGTTGCGGCTAGGTAATAAACAAGACTACTATAATTATCACGTAACCCTTTACCACTATAAAATATGACCAAAATAATACGGATCTCTACAAATCATACGGTTCCTTAATTCTGGTGAAAGTGGCGACTGGTTAAAATTTAGACCACCCTTGGGCTTTAATTTTTGGTCTAGTATAAGGCTGCAGTCACATGGAGCGCAATAGAGCGAGCGGGATAGAAATTTCTCTATAAGCGGCTGTGTTAAGTCTATTGCGCCGCGCAATAGGGTTATCCTGCAGCGCAATAGACTTAACACAGCCGCTTGTACCGTGAGTTCCAGTAGTGCTCTCCGACAACTTACCGACAACTTAAACATGACGCAAGTTATCGAAAGACATTATTAAGTTGTCGGTAAGTTGTCGGAGAGCATTACTGGAACACCCCCATTGCCCCATAGAGAAATTCCTATCCTGCTCACTCTATTGCGCTCCATGTGACTGCAGGGGCCGTACCATATAACTTTTTTTTGCTTCACAGGCCTATGTTACAACATAGGCCGATGTACAGAAACATAGTTATATGGTACGGACCCAGCCTCAATCTATGCTGCACTCTTAGTAATATCGAATATTATCGATATGAGTCGATCTTTTGTAAATGCGTTGGTCAGGTTAGCACATCACGCTGCGGCCTGCGCCGCGGCATTTCATCTTTCTCCCGCTACGCCGCTATTAACCTTAAAATACCTCGAAATCAAGTTGAATTACAACATTAAGATTGAGAATATTATTTATCTTTGTAGAAGTAATGATTACAACCTCGTATTGTTTGTCACCCTCCATGTCGATTGCAACCCCCCAAAGCACAAGCCCTGAATCCTGGCTAACCAGTAAGTACTCCTTTTATATGTTGGTATTATAAGTTGCTTCAATCACATAAAAAAAAATTTTTGAATTAACTTTCATGAGAGAGTTTCACTCCATTTATCTATAGCATTGTAAATTATTGATATGTATGTGTCATGTTCATAACAAGTAGGTCCTATAAATATTTTTACGTTTGTCGTACGGACTTCGTTCATTTGATAAAAATAATTTAATTATAAAGTTACAGTGCTTGTGTGTTTTAATGCGACTACTTAGAGTTTAAAAATCTTTTGTGTACTATGATTTAAAAGGCTGAGGAGATTTTTGCTCTCCCTGCCTATGAACTTCAGGTGTGATTCCATCTGAGATCAGATAATTCTCTCATGTTAATAACTAGCCTGAGATTTCTGAAAACGTATCTTTACTCAAAAAAATTTTTTTAGTTAAGTTGACAGTATTCAAAGCTGATCTGATGGTGATACCATTTGGATGGAATATCGAAAAACACATCTTTGAAAGTGTTTTTTGTCATATTATAAAAAATGAAACAATTTTTTTAGATTCTCAGGCGGAATGTCATTTGATATATTATTTATAAAAGTACCTGAGATCATCTCACCAAATAATTGAAAAAATTTATTTCATCTTCATAAATTGACATAATTCACTTTCAAAAACATGTTTTTAGATGTTCCGTCCTAATTATATCATCAATGGGGCAGCTTTGAATACTGTATGATTAATTTTTGATGTTTTGTTTAAGTAAAAATACTACTTAAAAAATCTCAGCCAAGATCTCAGGTGGGTTGTTGGTATGAGATAGTTACTTGAGCTCTCATGTGAGATGCCACTTGATAGTAATAGACAGGCTCCAATACATTTTTTATTCGAAATGTAATGTTACACGCACTGTCAGAGATTAGTAGGGAGATTGCTGACTGCCATGCTATGGAGTGTGCCCACTTTTTTTCTAGTGGTTCGAGCGCCCCACCGCGGCCAAGCGGCCGAACCAGGCGCACACTTTTTTTTATTTGAGAAGCAAGGTAGGGGTATGAGAAGAGTGGATTCGCGTATAGATATGTCCATATAGGTGCACATTTTGGAGACGCGTGGAAGGGGTATTCTGAATGTGCGCCTACGACGAGAGGAGTGGAAATGTCGGCTATATGGCTGTATAGCTGAGCGCACAGCCAAAGCAAGCGACAACACGAGCTCTTCTCTTTTGAGTATTTTGCCTCTGCAACCTGCAAGTATATGCTATACACTGAGAAATGTTTGGAGGGGACTCGCCTTTGGGAGTAAGAGAGTCGCCCCACCATAGCCCTAGTACAGCAAACTTGCTACTTTAGCGCAGCGGCTGCTCAAGAAAACCAAAGAAGATCTCTCCTAGTTGACTGGAGGGAAATAGCCCCCAGTAGTGGAAGCCTCGCGCCTCGATTCTGTAGTCCAAATGATAGGTAAACAAACCAACTGAACTGTACGTAAAAGTGTACGTATTACTATAGTATGGTTTGTCCATATGTGAACGGACTATATATTTGTGCANAATTTTTTATACAGAAATTCTATGGAGTTATGTGGGTTTTTGCGCTTTGCTCCATATAGCTTATTTGAATTTCGCGCTACTTTGGATGCCATTATCTGGAGCACTGATTGGTTGGCCCCGGCTAGTCTCCTTCTCTTTCTAACCGAGTTTTGATTGGTCGATCGAGTTCTCGATTTTTCAGGCCCAACTAATTAAAGTTTGGCTAGAGAGAGAGAGAGAGAGAGAGAGAGACGTAGTTCCAGTACACTTGGTCGCCCTGCCACGCTCTCAGCCGCTTGCATGCTCACTCCAGCAGTTTATGCTCTAAGGCACAGCCCGCTAATAGTACATATTTATAGCTCGGTATGGATACCGGAGAATGAGACTGCTGGCTGTCGTGTCACTCTAGCCTTTAGTGCGTCTTCCGTTCAACAGTCTACAGATGCTACCAGCTCAGTCAAAGAGTGGAGCGCGTTCATCTTCTTTCTCAGTGTGAGCTTGAAATGGAATTTTTAGGGTGCAGTCCCACTGTGCGTAATTGAGCTTCAAAATAGATTTCGCGCAATAGAACGAGCTAATTAGAGCTACTGCGCGTCTTTTCAAACTACTTGGACGAAGTTCGATCCGTTTACATGGGCAGAAAAGACCGATGCGCAACCTATTGAAGCCCGTGAGTGCAAGTAAGAAAAAAGTACAACGGGGCGAACTTTGTCCGAACAAAATGGACGCGCAATAGCTCTGATTGGCTCGTTCTATCCTTTATCGCGCGGAGTGCATTTCGCAGCTCTATTACGTGCTGTGGGACGGCAACTGCACCCTATAGACTTAAACAGAAAGACCACGTATCCAAATGGAGACCTTGTAGATAACATCTCGGAAATGAGGGGAGAGCCGGAGGTTTTTTGTCTTTTTCTAACACCACTCCGTCTTTCTTTATTGACGGAGGGGAAAAAAGGTGAGAGGAGATGTCGTATTTGCAGAGATTTATTGTACTGACGTAGGTTAACAACTAAAAGTACTTAAATGATGATTTTTTTTGCACATTAATTTATGTATGTAGTTAAATAGAATACATAAAGTTTGCTGATTAATAAAGTAGATTGATATAATATCTTCAGAATGAACATTGAAATCAGACGTATAAAAAATATTTTTAGTTTCAAGNCTGACTGGAGGAAAATAGCTTCCAGTCCGGCAGAGAAGCAGTCCTGCTACACAGACAGTAGCGCCACCTGTAACAGTGGCATGGCATCTCCAGACAGTAGAGAGGCTCCCCCAAAGATTTCTCAGTGTATGTGTATTTAACTGACTGGCTCTCGCTCTGGCTTCAATGTTATCCATAAATCTTATTTAATTAAATCATGAAACGAAATGCTCATTAATTATATGCACAGACTTTTGATTTCAATACATTATTTTTTAACTCTCCCGTACTCTTAACATTCCCAAATCCATTTACGTTTTTAAAAAAATATAGCTTCTACTATTTTTTAAGGTTTTCAGTACAACTTTAACCACTAATTTATTAATTTTACACATCCTAACTGCTGTGAACTGTAGGACAAGCTCCGGAGGATATCCATGAACATATGTGACTTCGAAAGAAATTTCACGTATTCTTCGGATAGCTAAGATGGAAAAGGCTTAAGGTAAAGTAGGTAGTACTGGAACAGCACATAAAGTGGCATCAGCACTGGAACGACGCTAACAAAATGTTGTTACAGACGTTATATTACTGTAAATTATGATTGAAAAAATATATTTACATTCCTTAGAATACCATCTGTAACAATGCACTGAAATAGCAGCACTTAATAGTGAATAAGAATAGTAAAAAAATTTTACAATACCCCTTAGGTGATGCCGGTTAATTTACCTATTTTTTTCAGTTTGAATCCAAATATCAATTTTGCATTTTGCGATAGAAAATAAGAAAAACCGTGATCAGTACAAAAATAATTGTTAATTATTATTGATATGGTAATAATAATTGAAAGTAGGCGTTGAATAACCAACAAAAAAAAATTTTTTAATTAAAAATCACTCGTTCCAGTATGCATCCCAATTTTAAAATGAGTACTCAATACTGGAACGAAATGGCGTACCTTGTTCCAGTATTGCTGCTCTTTTTTTCAGCTAGGATCAGAACGTAAACAAGTGTACAATTGACCAACTGTCTAAACTATTGCTTTAATCGTAGTTAGTGTTTATGAAGCAAGATTCAAATAATATTAGTGATAACGGTATTTTTACTTGGTATTTTGATTAAGTGTTCATATAAGTGCGGATGGGCGAATGTGAATGGGCAAAATAATACCCTCTTGCTTATAACGCAGTCTAACCTCAAAATTATTTACTCTGTACATGTAACGGTGGGTTATTTATCATTAACTTTAACAAGTAAATGATTGAGTATGTGCTTAATCTTTTTTTTAATAACAAAAATAATTGGATTTGATATACTTGTGCTTCAGTAATTATCAACTACAGTTTAAAAATGGCTAAAAAAAACGAATGCAAATAAAAACATTAAGAAAAGTGGAGTCATTCAACAAAACAAAAAGAGTAAAAATAAATTGATTAAATCAAAAATGGTGTAAAACATTGCCACACAACAAGAGAACAGCGCTGTAAAAGTTAATCTTTAAATCAGTACCAGTGAGTATACTATACGCCGTTTATAGTTTTTTATTTATTTATCATATTTTTGTATTAAATATTCATGTAAGGTCATAACGAAAAAGAACCAATTTTACCTAATTTTAAACTGGTATTTTTTTACCCTGTATTTCAAGCACAAAAAAAAGAAAAATAATACTTTATCA